CCCAGAGTGCATTAACACGGGACCTATAATTTTAGTGAATACTCAGTTGCCCAAAGGGAATTAACACGGAGACCTATGATTTTACTGAATACTCAGTTTCTCTTAAGACATAATTTGACACTTTCTCAATCAAACTTGATAAGGATTCAACAGCAGCTCCTCAGCAGGTGAAGGGTTATTCGTTCACCGAATTTTTCATCCTGCTCCTCAGCAATCGTTGTTGCCCTGGCAATTGTCTATTTTCGTTTGAGTGAGAAGCTCCTCTTCTTAAGTTGAGCCGAAGATGGTGATTTTGCTTTCTTGCTGATTTTGATGGCCTTCTTGGCAACTTTCTTCGTTGAGAGACGAGGCTTGCTAGGTCCCGGCTTCACAGACGCTGCATTGTTGCTTCCCTTGATCAGACGCATTTTAGAGGTAGCACATCCTTTAGCTTTCAGGGCCTTAGCGGCAATTCGGCTGCCTTTGACAGCCAGCTTTCCTGTCTTGGCAGACTTTCGACGTACAGCCAGAGCCCTTTTGGAGGCTGTAGAGGGTTTGGCTGAGCGAGCAAGTTTACGGCTCATGAATTTTTGGGCGGCCTTTTTTTTCATGCTGACGTGTCGTTCCCGGATCTTTTTCCTCATAGCTTTTATAACGGCCGGCACTGCTTTCTTGGCCTCTTTTTTCTGTGCATCAAGGGCGGGACCTGCACCAGACATTTCGGCGTTGCTGTTCTCTCGAAATTGTTGGTCTGCCATTTCGCTGTGTAGTCTGGATGTTCGAGAGCTCGAGTGGTGAAATAACGATTTTTTGGAGGTCTTGGTGTACGCAAACGCCGGTTTGAAAATCCGATCAATATTTTTCTCGCATGTCTGTTGGGTCGACCTATGATGCGAGGATATTTCTTCATCGCATACGGAAAATGTGCAATTCGTTTATTCTGCCAAAATCTGGCTTTGAAAAAAAATTACTAGTAGTCCATTCGACTTGCAGATTTTAGCATTTTTACCACTATCTGCGTAAAAATTTAATTATCTGGCGCTGTAGGAAATGTGGGCCGCTTTAAGGCTGGCGCAACCAAAAAACCATCTAGCAAATTATCATAATGCAAGATTAAGTTAAAGGATTTTTTTCTAATCTGTCGCTCGAAATCACTGTTTTTAATATTGACAAAAGTTTATAAACCAGCAACGCAAATCCGGAAAACGATGAAATTCATCGTCAGTTTACTCTAATTTCTTTTCAAAATATCTGAGAGGACACCTCTTATGGCGTATTTTTTTTAACGTACGGTACGCAAATTTGAAACGCAGGGCTTGGTGGTGAAATGGTCTGCCGTTCCGATCAAAAGGACAGATCTCAAGTAGAACACTTTCAGCCGAGCATTATGCTCTTGAAGGCCAGCTTGTATCTTAAAATGTTACAATTTGCTTTCAGCCTGTGTAAAGTACCTTTTTGGGAAT